TAATAACACTTAAGTTGATTGGGGTGAGAGTTAATTCTTGCTCCAAAGTCGCCTTATGAGTGCCATGGTGAAGCAGAGATATGAAGTAGTCTCTACAGTCTCATTCCAACACCTGAACTTCTACTGAACAGCGAAATGAAATTGCATTGATCATTTGTCAGACTTCAGTAATATCAGGTGACATGGAAATAGGGTAGAATTAAAAATAAAATTAAGATAAATAAAATAAAATAAACATATCCAGCACAGATACAAGTTCCTTAAGAGACCATCATAAATGGGAAACAGAAAAGTTAGCAGCTAATATTATTGCTAAATTTTGAGGAAGTTTAATCAAATTAGATTATTAGTGAGATTCTGCCAGACTTGCTATCATTAAACAGATCACACGATAATGTTTCCCTCTGATTATTAACTAACTAAATTAATAACCGATAGTAGACTGACTGACCAACCAACCAACCAGCATATCATGTTCCAGGGCCATGAGAGGCTGTAGCAGCCAGAAGACTCCTGAAAAGTATTGGAGCGTGTCCTTCCCTTTCATTAGGAATAGGCATTTTTTTTCAGGTTGTGTGACTGCATCCTTTCCTTCTTTTTTGCATGCTGAAGTTTTGTGAACTTCAGTTCAGTAGCAGATGTTTTGGAAAAATATGTAATAATGTCACCAAAAACTCCACCATAATGGACAGTAAAACATGTATGGCATATGCCACTCACTTTTTTTAGATTGCCATGTGAGTAATCAAGAAAGAGAAGGTTATGAATGGTATTGTTGATGTCTATTGAAGGAAATCTCTGATCAGAGTTTCTCTCTTACCTCTTGAAATTTCTCCTGAGTTTAACATTCATTTTATTTCATTTGTTTTTCACAGAACACCCATCTCTGGTTTCTCCCAAGACAACATTTATGAAGTCCAGCCACCTAAAGTGGACAGGAAATCTATTGAGATTTTTCATGCACACATCCAAGCAAGCAAAGGTATTATGCAACCTTTGGGAAAAGAGGACATCTTCCTATACCGAGAGTATATTAGGAATAGATACCTATGAAAAAAAAATGCCAGTACTCATCTCTTCTGAATGTAACTCCGCTGAAATCTTAGATAGCGCTTGCAAGGAAAATTAGAAGGAAAGTACCTTGAATGCCTCTTGTATGTATTTTTGTTTTTCGCCCATAACTCTAAGGATGACAGATGACTTATCTTTAATGGCTTTGGGGTACTAATACAAGTAACTTCAAGTGTGAATAATTAGTTTAAAAAAGAACTGAATATAACCTTTGAGAAGGATTGAAAATATTAAAGATTTTGATAAGCAGTATTGTGTACAGATGTAAGCACATACATATACTGTATATGTATACACATATATAGACATAGATAAGTAAATTCATATGCACACTTTGGCATAGTTAGAGAGTGAAAAGTTGCCATCAAATTAAACTCTACTTCAACTTTTATATATGGCCAAAGTCCCAGCAACATACCTAAAACAATCTAAAAACATGCCCACAATAAAGTAATTTCTAATACTTTTCTATTAGAGGTCAGGGTAAGAAAATTTTTATTTGATAAAGGGTAGAGGTGTTTTATATCAAGAAAATTGGATAATGAAATGTCTGCAAACATACAATCAGCTCAGAGAGCACCAAGAACTCCATAGTTTCTAATTTACTGTCATCTTCATTAGGCCCAATTGATTATAAAATAAAAGGTATGCTTAGCATTTTTTGTGCATTGCAAACAGGAGATTCTACCATTTGCATTTCTGTGACAGCACCTCTTGCAGATCCAACCCCATGGTCTTCATTGAAACAAGCCCAGTAGGCATGGCAGAAGACAATTTTATTGCCATCTATTATGAAGGCCTTGGAATTGTTGCACAAGCTTCAGAGATGGATGTCAGTTTCTATTGCATCTTAATTGCAATCATATGACCATGGGGCCACTGTAAGTCCTCTCATTCATTAAAGTTTGAATGGTCACCTGAATGCATGGTCATCATCTGAGGCTTACTTGTATCAATATGAATCTTTACAGGATTGTGCACCACTTATGATGGTTCACTCTACATTGTTTTCTAAAATAGAGTGTGATGTATTTCTGAGATAATCTATGAAACTTCTGTTCCCTAGGAGTAATACCAACCTACAGTAATAATACCAACAATAATTAACACTAAGATTAACATCAAACCAAAAATGAAAAAGTAAGCAATCTCTCAATCAAGGAATTGCCATACAAGTTAACAGTAAACAGCCCAATCAAAGAACCACTAAGACCACGCCTACTAACACTGACAGGGCAAGGCACTAGAATATAAATTGAGAACAAACCCCACTTCTTACTGGCACTGATGGATGATGTTACTTAGTTTGGGTAAACCCTAAGTTACAAATATTCTCCTTTATCAGACCCATTAATACAATGAAACAATACTATTTGGCTATAGAAAAAATTAATGCAGCTTGGAAACAATTTACCAAGAAGTTGCTTACAAAATTGAATGATATTAAAGCAGAAGATATAGAAAGCAACACCTGTTATTGGATAAAACAGAGACTGACCAATTTGATTTTTTTAAAATGCTGCATTACAAAAGCAATAAGGAAAAAGATGCNGAGATCAGGAACTAAATGGATTGACGTTGTAGGATGGAAGCTATTTAACTATATCTTACAGGAGGTGGAAAGCATTTAGAGAGTGATTAAAACAGAAAAACAGCATAAGAATATAAGAAGAGCCTACTCTGTGAGGCCAATCTGATCAAAACCCAGAAATATTAAACATGCTAAGAAAAGATTAGCTAAGAATTCCTTTTTCTGTGTGGTGTTTAAGCTTAATTTAGTACCTCTGAAGAATTTAAGCTCTTGATTCAAGGTCAATAAATTGTCTTCTTTTATGCAACGTGGAACCTTTATGCATCAGAGTTCAGACTAACAATGTCTTGTAATTACCCAAAACTTTAATAGACTTTTATGGGGTTATGAAAAATCCTTTTCTGATGTTCTGTTTGTTCTAAATTGGCTCCATATTTGCTATTGAAAGTTGTACTTATGTCTTAAATGTTTGTATTTACTTCCACTCCTCTTTAAAAAGAAGCTAAAGAAATTAGTGTCATTTATTGCTTGTGAGATTGCTCTGTCTCTAAAGAAAGTGGGAGACTGATTATCCCTAGTCACAATCCTCTTGATATGTTACCAGGAGGTAGCATTAGAAATTGTATTTCTTTTTTATCAGCTTATTGTTTTTATTATTTGACAATAAAGCATCTGGCTGTGAGGAAGGTTAAGTGAGAGGGATTCTAGGTAAAGGCAGTCTTCCTCTTTGGAAAATAGATGATGTTAGCAGTAGCTATGTTCAGCAATGCTACAGCAAGAAGGTAGCTAGAACATATAAAAATACAGAGTCCTTCTAGGAGAGGAAGGTTGGCTCCCGCTTTTAGCCTATCAACCATGTTACTACAAGGGATAAATAAGAAGAGCAAAGGATTCAACAGGATATATTTTGTAGCAACTTTCTCACAAGCTTTGCAGATAAGTGAAAGCTGATAATTAGGTCAGATGAATTCTTTTGCCTGGTCAAGTAAGATATTCTATTCAAATGTCTGGACAGCAAAATCTGGAAAGTACTAGCATCTGAACCCAGAACTTCAGAATTAAATCATAAAACTGATAACTAATGATAACAGCTTAATGTATTATACTGGGTAAAAAGTGATTCTATATACTGTACAGAGGGGTTTGTTACAAAAACATCTTATTAGCCTTGGTTTTCCTTGCATGTAGCTTCATCAGAGACTGAATTCTGATACTGCTGATGTTATGGTTAAGAATATTATATTACATCATGTACGAATAACATGTGAACATATATGCACACAGACTCATATATACAGTACATAAACACAAATGTGTATGTATAACCAGATACTTCTCTTTTAAATGCTAAAAATGGTTTAAGTTATCACATTTCCTCTTAGGGGGGATATGTTCTAAGCTTCTAAAATTATTTCCATAATAACATGGTCATTTTTTGACATATCTCCTAGCTCCCTGATATCATTGTTGAAACAGTAGCCCCAATTGTATACTGTAATCAATACAATTACACCCAAAAATTGTAAATGTTATTATGGAAATAATTTTAGAAGCTTAGAACATATCCCCCCTAAGAGGAAATGTGATAACTTAAACCATTT